TTTCTAGCGTGAGTACTTTTTTGAGTACTCGCTGGACGAGTACTTTCACTAGGGCCCTAGTGAAACTACTCATCAAGCGAGTACGCCCGTCCTGCATGAGTACTCAGATTACTCGTGCAAGTACTGCTTAAAATTCATGAGTATTTTTACTCACTGAGTACTCTTAGTAGTACTCATTTGGTTTTCTCTTCAATAAATTTACTTGTAGTCATAGTCAGCCCGATGAGCACTCAATGTAGTACTCGTATATTTTTTTTCGTAAAGAACTCGATGAAACAGTTATGCATTTGCAAGATGTAGAAGAAAATTAATATAAATAAAATTTTTAAAAAATTCTATGAAGCCATTGGAAACAGAAAAAAAAATTATCAAGCCATTATTGTTCAATATTTTCAAACGAAAAACAACCAATTGCATTGCTTCTTTAGAAAGGATGAGATATAATGCATTGAATGCTTTCATGTGTTCATTTGTTCTTCAAATAAAAGATCGTTTTCTATGTTCTAAGTAATTAGAAGCTTCTTTTTCGATTTTTTAAAATTTATTTTGAAAAAAAACTTATTCGTGTAATAAGATTAATCGTTGCATTGTAAATCTAACATTTCAACAGTATACATTGTAGGACAATTTTTTTCCAACATAGAAGATGTACAATCGAATTAGATGTTGTTGCAGACTACAGTAATGTTTAAGAATAGGATCATTTCTTTTTTTTAAAGCTTTCTCAATCATATCGTTCCATCTGTAACCATCTACTTCATGATCATCTCTAATACTTTATTTGTTTCTAGATGTCTAATACACACTTTTATTGAACAACTGGAAGTGAAAGAAAACGAAAATGCCGACGATCAGCAACAGCTATCAAACTCGATTCAAAATTGAATGAATTCCAAGCAAATTGTTCTGACAGTGATTCTGTTGAAGAAACAACTGATGAAATACAAATGCCGCTTAAAGATTTTTGTACATACTCAGAGAATATTGATTATCAGTTCGATGATGAAGAACCATTAAATATGCAACATCCAAAAAAAGAAAGTTCAAGTGAAAATGAAGAAGAAAGTGGCGGTGATGAAGACGACAATGATGATATACATGAGATTATTAATTTATTTAATATTAATCGTGAACGAAAATTATATACATCATGTAATTTATCAATTTATGATGCTTGTATCGAAGTAGTTAAACTTTCTCGTGATTTAAATTTGAACAAATTACAAATACAACGTTTATTAAATGGACTACATCTTTTACTACCAAGTGAAAGTAAACTGCCGCGAACAGCATCCAGTCTGTTAAAGATTGTTGGTAAACCTCTATCATATTCAGACAACATCATAATCTTAATCTTTTATTGTTCGCTGTTATTTCTAGATGTTAACTCTTCTAAGAAAGTATCTTATTATTGTCGGCAATGCTTTCATCCTTTATTATCTGTTCAACAAATTGCATGTACAAATGAATGTTTTCTGAACAATCAACGACGTTCATTGAAAAATATTAGTGAATTAGTGATATGTGATGTCAAAAAAGAAATATTAACAACAGCAAAAAGGTATATTGATTTAATTCAGGAATATCAATATGAATCAAGTATTATTTTTCCTGATGATGTATTGAATGGGCCGATTAGTATTTTTTTCTTCAATTGATTCATAATGTAAATTGTCATGGATCATAGATAATTTATTAAAAAACTACAACTGACGGATATAGGTTCACATTGATTTATTTTAACGAGAAGAGTTCGATCAATGCTATAATTAAAAAGAATTATATTCTCAGTAATTAAATTTTTGTATAGGAATAAACCTTATTTCTATTCCTTTTAATAATTCTTGACAGTTTCTGATTGAAGTAAATTTTACTTTAATAGATTTATAAAAATTTACCATCGAATTCATGCAATAATCTCACATTAATGCTTCACACAGATGGAGCATCAGTCACTAAGATCGGTGGAAAATCCTTATGGCCGGTGCAATGTACATTAGTGGAAATTTCACCTCCTCTTAGGGATCGAGTTGATTCTACAATGATTTTTGGTGTTTGATTTGGTAGTACGCATCCTAATCGAGATTTATTATGGCCCAAAATTGTTGAGCAAATTTCCGATTTATTTAAAAATGGAATCACCATTATTACTTATGTTGGTAAAAGGCTGAAATTTTCAATTCGTGCACAATTAGTTACATTTGACTTGCCAGCTCTTGCGCAGAATTGTAATATCATTCAACTTAATGGTTATGACGCATGTTCTGATTGTAATATTCATGGGTGTGGGTGTGGGTGTGCTTGTTCCTCTTTCAAGCAAAGTCACATCCCCCCCTCCCCCACTCCCACACCCATATATAAATCGACTCAGTTTTTAACGCTGATTCCGAATCTGATATTAGTTTTATACCGAATTGTAGCTTTCTAAGAAAACATCGCCTGAAAAAGGTCTCAAAATGCACAAAAACTGCATCCAGAAAGCAAATTGCCTAGATATGTCTCAGATGATAAAAAACAAAGTGAATGTACCTTTTCACTTTTTGAAGTACACATAACACTCGGATTTAAATCCGAGGTTTTCGCATTTATTTGTATATTAAAAGTTGTATATAATTTTGATAGAATAGTAATTCTGTGTATATCTAAATGATCTCAATTCAATTTCAGTTGGAAAGAAAGAATTTATCACA